CTTAATGTCATAACTACGTGTAGCTACTAATTAAAAACTCCATGGAGCAGAGTCCTCTTAAGAAGCTACAATTTGCGGAGCTTGCCAAGAAAGTTCCGGCTTTTTACGCCCTATGGAACCCGACGGTTCATTACCGTGTTCATAAGAACCTGCCAATAATCAGCGTCCTCAGCCAGATGAAGTCAGCCCACGCCCTACTTCTTTAAGATTTATTCTGATATTGTTACGTGATTGAGCGTGAATATAGATGGGGCTTGGATTAGCAATAGGAATTTTGCTGGAAACTTACACTCTTAATTGCAAATAACTACGACACTCTGACTTAGCTACACACTCCAAAGATCACAGTAACTACAGCACACATAAAGTTCTCTAAGTCTTCATGAGGAGTTGCTTGGTAGCGGCTTCAACTGCAGACGTTCCCCTTCCTCTGGGTTCCCGAACTGTCCCCGGCCTCAGCTACCAACTTCTCACTTCTCACAGCTCTAAGTCTAAATTGACTCATCTCAGTCTGAATCTTATATTACTAGCGACGGCCAGTCAGCCAGTCTGTCTTGGAATAAAGCATCCATCTGTGGCTTATGACCAGATTTTTATTAGTCAGACAGTTGCGGGTTTGTTGATGTGTGGCGCTTTTTGACGAGAGGATGGGTCTGTCGTTTACAATTACTGCTAGCACTCGCCAGGGCAATCATTCTCGGGTCAAAGTCCCGTGAGACTTTGAACATATTTTACTGTCTCAGATTCGAGACTACCCTTTTCGTCGCCTGCTACAACTCGCAGGGCTACAGCGAAGGTAGCGTAGTGTCTGACTCATCAAACTCAAAGTCAAAATCACATTGCGACTGACGATCAAGTCAGTAATTCCGTGTATCGAACCCTAGTCTGGGACTCATGCCCAGATATTTATTGCTGTTTGACAGTTACGGTCTTGTTTTGTTTGGCGCCCTCTCTGACGAGAGGACGGGTCTGTCTTTTGTATATGCTGCTGGTCCTCGCCAGCACAGTCTTTCTCGGGTCCGAGTCCCTTGGGACTCGCGACCATATTTTACTGTCATGGATTTGAGACTTCCCTTTTCGTTGCCTCCTACAACTGACAGGGTCACGGTGTAGGTACTCGACCCCGCCTCCACGAAGGTAATGTCTCCGTCTGACTCATAAAGTTAAGGTCAAGTCATAGTTACAGCACAACTGACGGTTTAATGCCAATCAATTCGTCTTGACGTCAGGCCCCTTGAGACCCACGACCTGAGATTTTTTTCCAATTGAACTCTTGCGGTAATAGTCCTTATGTTACCTCCCCTCTGACGAGAAGTTGGGTTTATCTCTTATGAATACACTTGGCCTTTCGTCAAGTGTATATTTCGCACGTATAACATGTTATTGAAAATTCTTGTTTTTGCACTACACTCAAGTCCTTTGTCAGTACAGGCTTTACAGAGCAGATCATGCCTAACTTACATATCTTATGCTTCAACGACAACTAAGTCATTTGAACGAGCGGAAGCTTAACCACCGCCAAGTTTAAGCCTCTTATATTTTTTGCGTCTGGCTTCACCTTATCCTATACCGCGAACATGTTCATTCTCATGATTTTGTATGACTTCTGTTTGTCGCCTGTTCAATTTTGTTACATAATCGTATACACATGGAAGGCTGAAAGCTGTGTGCAAGTCGCGGACCGATGTGCACCTTGGAAAATTTCCAATGGTACGCAAAGCCTTATTTTGCATGCGCCGCAATTTTAGGAGGTAGGTGTCTGTCGCTAGCCGGTCACGGTAGCCGAGCGGTCTAAGGCATGTACGTACTGTCTTCGTTCGCTTGGAAACCGGGATCGTGTGTTCGAATTCCACTCAAGGCATGGATGCTTAGTTTGTGTTTGTGCGTTTTCCGTGTTTGTGTACAAGTAGAGGCCTTGCGACGAGCTGATCACCCGCCCAAGGAGTCCTACCGAATGTGTAAGATCTAGAAAAACCGAAGTGAACGAAGAAGTTCATGGAGGTAGGACTAGGCCCACTGGGGCTGTAGTACCAAAGAAAAAAAATGTGTCTGTCGCTAATTCCCAGGCGGGACAAGCATAAGTCATTACAGATCTGATCAGTGCCTTTTTGACGATTAGTTTAATGTTTGCGTTTAAACGCTCACTTTCGAATAGGGAGCAGATTGAAATAAATGTTCTGAAGACTTTAGCTTCAATCATCTCTATGTGAAGTCCCCAAGTAGTCATCTTCTCGAAGATTACGCCCAGGTATTTTACATGATTGGCAAAGGAGATATTCTGCACATTCAGTATGAGTCTGAAAGGGGGCCTAAGTCTATGACAAAAGTAGATTGCCTGAGGTTTATCTTGATTGATTTGTATGTTCCAGCGCTCACACCACGTCTCAATATCACTGAGACCTCGCTGCAGCTTTCTGAGAACACAATGCTCTTTGCGGTCTGTCGCATGTATACAGGTGTCGTCAGCAAAGAGATTTGGATAGACACCAGGTGTTTGGGGCGTGTCCTTTTATATACACTGTACAGTGTGGGGGAGAGAACAGAACCCTGTGGCACTCCTGCTTGTATATCTCTTGGCGTAGACATTTTACCTTCGACTGAAACTCTGAATTTTCTCTGAGAAAGGAAAGCGCTATTAAGCTTGATTAGACTTATTGATAATTGTAATATAGATAATTTATATAGCAAGCCAACGTGTCATGTTGTATCAAAAGCTTTTTCAATATCCAAGAATACAGCAGCTGTAATTGTTGAAATTTAAGATTGCGTGGTCCGCAAGCCTCGTATAGAGAAGTGTCGTGTTATGACGAGCACGGAAACCAAACTGGCTTGCATTAATCAGGCATTTTTCTTCAATGTGCCTTTGGACTATTTTCAGAATAACTTTTTCGAACAGCTTGCCTGTTGTAGACAAGAGACTAATCGGGCGTAAATTTTGAGGAAATTTTGGGTCCTTACCGACATTCGGTAACGTTATAACATTTGCTTCCTTCCAAGGCTTTGGAAAATGGGACGGTCGAAGGCAGTGATTGATTAAATGTGTCAGATGTACCAGTCGTCTTCTTGGAAGATGCCTAAGGCATTCATTTGGAATACCATCAAGTCAACAAGCCTTCGGCAATTTTAATGTATTTGTTAATTTATGTATGTCACAAGGTCATACTTTCCCCAACGGAGTGCCTTCTACAGATGCAAGCAGAGCTTGGACTGTAGTCTGCACCTGTCTCACATGGCTTTCGTCACATGGGTCATGAGATATGAACTGGTTTTCTAAACAATCCGCTATCACGTTGGCTTTCTCATCAGGGTGATATGTTATTCCTAACGGTCCATGAACAGAAGTTGGTGCCTTTTGTCTATTCCTTTTCATAAGCGATATCGCAATAGGCTACAGAGCTTGAGGTATAACCTCACAGTTCCCTACTTTTGTTTCCCACAGTTCTAGTGCCTTTCTACGGGTCATCCGTCCGATGGTTTTGGCGACCCAATTGAGTGCCGTTTTACATGCTGGATCCCGAGTTACTTGCCACAGTTTCCTTATTCTCCGCTTATGTTTTAGCAAACTTTCCAGACCAGGTATATCCTTATTAAAGTCCGAGAGTGTAATTTTGCTTGTCGATAGCCTCTACGCCGAAGTTATAGAGGCAGTAATATCGTAGGCCTCTTTATCGGCTTCTTCTTCCTAATTAATTTGGATTCTAGGTGAAATTATTTCAGAGGCCAATCTTTGAAACCGCTTCCAATCTGTGAATTTGTCAACCGGCTCCGAAAGATTCCTAGTTCTAACATGATCTAGCAAGTGGAAAACGATTGGTAGGTGATCTGAGTCCAGAATATCAGAGACAATGACTTCTGACAGCCGGATATTCTTGGCCACAAAAATATCGATGACGTCACTATTTCCCGTAGGAGAGTAATGAGTGGAACATTGTGGTCCTGAAACTCCAAACTAATTTATATGCAGTCATTTCAACAGTCTGAAAGGTTTGAAAAAACACTATTCTAAAATGGATGTTTAGCATTCAGATTTCCTGCCAATATCGGCACATGTCTAAAGCTTAAGAGCTCAGTGATGTCTGCATCAACCCAGGTGTGGCCTGGGTACTTATAGACTGCTGAAAGTAGTACTTTGCTATTACCAATCGGTATGCAAACCCCTGTGGCTTCTATTGAAACAAGCGGAGGCAGGTCTGCATGGTTGTGGGGAATGCCTTTTCTTCCTGGGAAGTGGTCAGTACGATAAAAGTGATAATTTGGAATACAGAATCTATCATGGGGTTTGAAATGTGTCTCTGAGAGAAGAGCCACATCTATATGCATGTTTTGCAGCTGTTTACTGAGCTCATAGCGCTGCCTCCAAATGCCATTTGCATTAAATGCTATGACCCTGAGCGGCCTATGAATTTTAGCAGCCAATTTGTTGCATTAAAATTAGTAACATTTTTGTAATGACCATTATTCTGTCTTCTTGTGATAGAGCTTCACTGAGCTCTGTCACGATCTAATGCACTATAGTGGCTACAGCGTCATTGTTAGGCGAACTGGTAGTCTGTACTGACAGACCTGTCTCGAATATATTTATAATAATAGCAGTTGGCTGTTACTTGTCATAACTGATGCAAAACTGATGACAGAGAAGTAAAAAAGAGATAGCGGCCAATCTAAATATAAAGTAAAGGAAATTTAAGAGTGTTAGCTTTTATCTTTCCGGTAGGAGTTTACCATACGTTTCAGAGGAAGGTACTGCCTTCATTTTCAGGGTCGAGGAACCAGACAAGCGCACATTTGTAATCTTCTGCCAGACTAAGCGTCACAACCCAGAAGATAATACTAATTTTCATAGTCATCGTCGTGAGAACCTCAAATTTCACTTACGTCAGGACTAACCTCATAGTGAAGGGTGCACCGAATTAACGCCTAACCTGTCCTCTGGTAGCAATCACTGTAAGTATTCGAAAATGTTGCACGTTGAATATTCCATGTTCCCTGCCGTTCCCTGCCTATCACTACATCACTACTTACTGTTTACCGCTACTTACACTCTGTGACTGAATACAATATAATGGCGAAGTTTGTATGTGCGGTGCAGGAAGGATTTTTGTTAACACGGATCTGCGGCGGTGGGTTATCCCATATTAGAAATGGATATGAAGGTAGTACATTGTTTCAGTCCCAGCCACTTCTGCATGATAAACTTAGAAGAAATCATAATTAATGTACCATAGTTTGTTAACCTAACCTCTCCATGGCATGTGACTCCAGGAGACAAATAAATTGGTCATTACACAGTCATTCAGATCAGTATTTTAGTAAAACATCTGTCCATATAAATATAATGGTAGTTAGAACAGTTAAAATAGAGAGTGTGAATTACTTTCTGAAATTCATGTGACTGTAGGTGCTATTTAACTCCAGGGGGAAGATTTCTTCATTGGAAGCCAATAGTCTCGCAGCTAGTGAATAAACTCCCGGCCTTTTTGAAGCTACGAATGTTCATTACCATGTGCACAGGAATTTGCATCAAGCCCAATGCAGAGCCACCTTCATACCCTGTTTCTTTGAGGTCCATTATAATGTTTTAAATTATAAGGATTTCTAACCAAAAGCTTCTGTGAGTTTCTCCCATTTGCACTATGACTCTGTCTGTCATATCACTGAATTTACCACCAAAATATTATTTCAGGTGAAATTATATTTTTGTACATCTAGGAGACGGGAAGACATAAGTTTCTGATCTGAAAGATATATTTTCTTAACTTCTCGTAATAATGATGAATGACTATGATTTTTATATCAAAACAGTTCATGTTATTCTTTCCAGGCATCCGTTTTCTGTTTGCACCAGCCGCTTTAGGGTTGGACAACTACAGTGTAATGAGGGACAGAACAAAAATACAATTTGTCAACCTGGCTGATAAATTTAGGACCAAAATGTTGGAGTTTTCAGATCCAGATTCATCAAATATGATTTTCACAGAAGATCTCAAAAACATGATTCATCTGGCTGAAGATACAGCTGATGACTTAAATTTAGTTTATAGAATGATGAAGAGGTAAGTTAGAATACTATGCAGTGAAGTAAAGGTTGCTGTTGTTTCAGAGAAACCTACTACCACCATCATCAAGATTCAATGGGAAAACTCTGCAGGCAAGCAGAAATAAAACAAGCCCAGCATNCATATATATTGTGTGAGTGTAACAGGATGCTGAAATATAATATTGCCAGCATTCTGAATTTTGCATTATTCTCAAGCATCATTAACATACGACAGTGTGGAAATCCTCTATTTTTATGTTGTATTTTAGCATCCTCTTGCACTGATTCATATTCATAATGTGTATGTATTAACAGTCTTCAAGTGCATACAATCTCATTTACAACTTCTACACTACATGTTTTGGCAGTATGCTGCTAGTTAGTTAGTTAGTTAGTTAGTTAGTTAGTTAGTTAATTAGTAGAGAGGGTGGGTTTCCGCATGCACTTAGACCAGTATTGGTCCATTGTGCTTCCCTCTATGATATTCTACCAGTCTCTATGCCCTACCGATATTGGTGCGTACCATCAGTCCCAACCGAGCCAGCGAGTTTGGCCTCCACTAGCTTGGTGGTATCTATAATGCTTCCCCCATCTATCAGAGGCATTAGAAACTACTGTTGGGCGGGAAACGTCCTTAAATTTGGCTCAGTGACCTCCTTTGGAGATATGAGGTTCTTTTACGTGCCGTAAAGCTACGACATGGGACACATGGCTTAAAGTCCCTCCCGGAGGACTTGTTCCCTGAATTTTTCTGCCCTTAAAAATTCGACGACCTCCGCCGGGTTTGAACCCGCGTACCACAAGTCATGAGGTGGGAACGTTACCTCTAGACTACGGAGGCTGCTCAATGCTGCTATCTTCAGGTGTCGACTATTTCACTGCTTGCCTTTATATGTCCATTTACAAATAATATTAAATTTGAAGAAAGCAGTCTTCTGGGATTTGGCACCGTGTATATGTGGTGTTAACCGACGTTTCGGAGGAACGTATCGCCCCCATCTTCAGGGTAGAAGAAAAAGTATAAGAAATCTGCAAGCGACAACACTGTGAGAAACGGTAAAGCCCCCAGCTAACACCACCTAGCAGCACAACTCGTAACTACAAAGCATGCGCGCGCAACAGGTCGTTTCCGGTTATTTTTGGGTCCCCCTTCGTACATCATATTTTAAATTCATGTGTGTTATTGATCATCCACATGGGGGTCGTTCTTCTTATGTTTCTAATGTTGTGTGTATATTGTGTCTTATGATGTGTTCTACTCTTGTGGCTGCGTGCGTTATATTGTTGGATGTGTATGTTTATAATTTTATGGTTTAAACATATGTAATAACTTTGACAGTCATATCTTTTTTGAATAAATCATTTTTAAGGGTCTTCAATTTGAAATTGAAAAATGTCATACAGTCTCAAGCCAGTTACTAGGAATGTTACCAGGATTAAAAGCAGATATTGTATCCATCCACGTTGGTTTAAAATTGGAAGTACACAGGTTTTCCATATTTCTTAATGGTAGCCATTGCATTTTGGTAACATTATGACATTTTTCATGTACTGCCTTGATAAGTCAGTAGTAATATTGTGATCCTATCAGCCATGAGGTTAAGTTTGTGACCACGACACAGGACTCTTAATTGGTCTGTACACAGACCTTGATTTCTGCCTCTGAATAATATCTTCAAGCTTACATGTAAGTGAGTTGATTGATAAATTACTGTTGGAAAAGTTATTTCACCTAGTGAACATATGAAAATTCTTCTTGAAAGACAATTTTTTTTGTGTGCTGAACTGCAACAGTTTTATTCAAGACTGACTTCTTTGTTGCCTTCAGTTTTACATTACTTTTTGCCCCAGCCTGGTTGACCATATGGAAACATCAAAAGATCACAGGTGCAGGCTGTAACTGAACATGGCCACGCCATAGCTCAAGCGGTTAGTCGCTGGCTTCCCACCGCGGCAGCCCAGGTTTGATCCCGGGTCTGGTCAAGTGGGATTTGTGGTGGACAAAGTGGCACTGGAGCGGGTTTTCTCTGAGTACTTCGGTTTCCCCTGCCAATCTTCATTCTACCAAATTCTCCATCATCATAATCACCCAGGGCAGGTACAATACACCAATCATTGGGTGCTGTGCTGAGTGGACCCAGTTTGACTCCACCCCCCACTAACCAAATCTGAACATCATTTCATGACCTCTTTGATGACCATACACATTTATGTAATTATGACTCAGTGGTGCATAATTTTTAGAAATAAAGACACTAGCAGTTTTATCAGCAGTAGGTTTACTATATTGATGCTTATTTGTACAGGGTGGGGTGCAGAAACTTCCTTTTTGTGAAGATGAATTGTGAAGGGAGGGGAGGTCACAGAAAAGTGGGGATAGGCTCGGCGAACGCAGCAGTCGCGGAAGTTTCTGTCTAATACCCCCCAGTAGGAAACATGAGGTGGACAAGTGAGCAGCGTGCGTTTGCTGTCGAAGCCTATTTTTCGAACAACCATTTCTATGTGGCGGTGCAGCGTGTGTTCCGTAGTCACTTCGGAATTAAGCCCAGAGGTCTGGTTCCCGACCGGAAATCGATGTTTTGTGGTTAGAGAACTTTAGGACAACTGGGAGTGTGGTGAAAAGTCATCAGGATGACAACGGACCGTTACGACGCCAGAAAATGTGGAGGCAGTTCGACAGTCAATTTTGAGATCTCCAAGACGCTCCGCTCGCAAACATGCAGTCGCCCTAGACATAGCCAATCATTCAATGCGCCAAGTTCTTCACGAACATCTTAATTTCCATCCCTATAAGATGGTTGTTGTGCAAGAATTGTCACCATGTGATTTCCAGAACCAGATAACGGTGTGTGAAACGTTATTTGAAACTTTACCCCCTGACCAACTTGTTTTCTTTAGTGATGAGGCACATTTTCACCTAACTAGATATGTCAACAAGCAGAATATGCGCTGTTGGAGTGGTAACAATCCCGGAGAGCATGAGAGGCCACTACGCAGTGATAAGGTGACAGTATGGTGTGCGTTGTCGAGAGTTAGAGTTATTGGCCCTTATTTTTTTGAAGAAGACAATCATGCAGTTACTGTCAATTCACAGCGTATGTGGACATGATTAAAAACTTTTTCGAACCAGCTCTTGAAGAAATGCATCTAGGAAATGTCTGGTTCCTACAGGATGGTGCCACAGCCCACACAGCCCAAGCTTCGATGACAGTTTAGAGGGCAAAGTTCCCCGGACGACTCATCTCGCTTCAAGGTGACATCCCGTGGGCAGCGCACTCACCTGATCTAACGCCCTGTGATTTTTTTTATGGGGATACTTCAAGGCAGAGGTTTTTAAACATCGCCCCACAAACCTGCTTCAGCTGAAGAATGTTATTCGGCAGGAAGTAGCCCAAATTCCCGTGCACATGTTGGAACATGCAGAGGGGAACTTCAGAAAATGGTTGCATCAGTGCATAGAGAATGGTGGCCACCACCTTCAAGATATTTTGTTTAAAACTACATGATTTAAAACTTTGAAGTATGTTCCTTCATTGGCTAAACATAAATTTTGTCTATCAGCAATAATTTTTCTTTTATTCGCCATCAAAAAAAGGAAGTTTCTGCGCCCCACTCTGTACCATCATGATCCAGAAATCACAGGTCACTTTTGTTTGTAGTATTTGCAGAAGCCTCATCAGCTATAGTGTTGTCATCACTTCTGTACTTCAGTTTATGCTGAATATTTCAGAAACCTTTTGCAAAGGTTCATAAAGAAGTTTTAGGCCAATTACTTTGAATGTGATTGGCAATCAATGAGCTGATTAAAGTTTACTGTAAGATGATAAATGGTCACTGGCCAAAATTAAATCAGAAATAACCTATATGTGGAGCCCTGAATCTCAGCAGTAAAATCCTGTTCCAGATATCAGGTCCTTCAAGGATTTAGATTCAAAATGCAGGGTCCCATAGTAAACAACCCAACTGACATATTACCAGACTGGAATTAAATGATTGCATAATCTTCTAACTACTATGAATAAGTTACATATCGAATTTCATGGCACTGCGGAAACATCCTAGGTATAAGAGCACATACAGAATTAGCTGTAAGAATTTTCATAATGTAGTTGTGAAATAAAATGAAGCATACTGATTTTTAGGAATTAAGCTTTAATTTATGCAGTAGAAAAATTCTTCAGTGATTTTCATGAGGAAATGTTTAATACTTTTAGGTTTAATCAGCAAAACAAAGAGGTTAGGTTTGGAAGTTACGTTTTTGGCCCAGTGGTCATGAGGATGTACTACTTTCTGAATAAGCCTGATGAAGCCCTTGAGGTAAGTTATAAACATGAACATGGATGAGTAACAATTAGATGAAGGGAATTTTCATTTTTTCTTGGCCCCAATTCTCATTTTTTATTCTGTCAGTCAGCCTCAGCCATAAGTTTTGCTTGTGTGTGCTGTCATGTAGGTCAGCAAGTACTGGGAGCTGAGGAATTTCTGTTTAGTGTTGGTATAAATACATTTAGAAGGAAAAGACATTCTTTATTAGAAAATTGTCACATGTTCCCTAAAGTCTTGAATGTTTACCATCAGGATACATTTTTCTGAAATTGCGCAGTACCATTTTCTCCACCCTAGATGAAATTATTATAATTAGGGGTCTCTTGTTAGCAGAACCTTATTTTTGAAATTGGGCATACTGTGTGAAGATGAGATTTATGATACAGAGTCTACCAAAAAGAATACCAGATTTCAAACACGTGCAACTCAGGAATCAAAACAAATCTGATTATATTTGTACTTGCAGTATAATTGTAAACTCATACAGTTTAACTGAAATAAGTTGCACACACATCCCAACTTTAGTTCATGGACAGTCACTTTGATTGTGTGTTCTGTGCAACCAGTATAGTGTCTCCTGCCCAATAAAAAGCACAGACCATGTTCTGGAACACAAAATTTGAATCCATTATTCAAGTTTAACATGAATTTAGACATGATTATGGTGTGAAACCACCTCATAACGAGCGCTGGGAGATTGTAGAAGCAATTTTGAGAAACTGGTAGTGTGGTAAGAAGACATTCTACTGGGCAGTCTATGAGATGCGGTGAAGACATGGATCATGTGTGACAAACTTTTGCATGGGGCCTGAAGAAGTCAATCTCCCAAACAAGTGCAGAGTCACAAATGCTGCAAATAACTTTCCACAGAATTCTTCAGAAGAATCAACATTTAAACCCATACAAATAAAGATAGTCTAGAAGTTTATAACCTGTGGTAAGTAGGTTAGATCGCAGTCTGCGACACACATGCACCCAGATTTTGGAATACGGTAATTTTAAAGTCATATTTTCTTCACTGATGATGCAAAATTTCACACATCTCTGGACATGTTAGTTGGCATGACTGTGTCATGAGCCTTCCAGAGAACATTTAGGATATGAACAGGATAATCCTAAAGTGAATGTACAGTGTGTGCTAACACATAAAACAATCATGGCCCTGTTTTCCTTTGATAAGGACATCATTACAAGCAGTTTATTCCTAGATGTGCTGAAAAATTATGCAATTCAATATCTCAGCAACAACAATCTTATTCTTCAATTGGATGGTGTACCTGTTTATGTTGCTCACATTGTCCATGACTTTTTGAACTGGGGGTTAATGGTGGAGTGGTTTTATTTTGATAACTGCCAGCATTCAGATTGTTACTACCATCCTGAAACAAATATATGTACTTTGCAGATCTTTGTTCCTGTTATTTTAACAGCTTATTTGTTCTTGTCATTTCTTTTTGAGCTGCTAAATGCTGAAATATGTGGTATAGATGAGGTTATATTTAAAACTATAGATAATCAAGGAAATAGCAGCTGAGGTCTAGAAAACCGAGATTAACGGCCATGGGGATCCCTTGCGCTGACCCCGCGTCACCCTCTATCCACTAAAGTTGGCACTAACCTCGTCGACAAGCGGCAGTCCCTCGGTCAGTATAGTTCCCTTGTTGGATAGAGGCCATGGAATTTGTTTGTTTTTTTTTTTTATAAAGTTATTTGCCTCTACAGAGATGCATGTGAGTGATAAGCTTCCGGCCCCAGCCGCTTTACCCCTATGGAAAGGGAGCTGCAGTACCCATTAAATAGGCAGCTGAATGAGCTTTATAGTCAGTTTGGGTGTGGTTGTGGAAAGAAAAGGTCCCTGCATCTGCTGGGAATTGAATCTCTGTCATTTGTAAATCACAGTCACTTAATGACTGAGCTATTTAAGTGAGAAAATGCATTATTTAGTGTGATGACAATAGCTATGGGACTTTTATAGTTTAAGAACATAGTAACTTTGGCATGAGAGAGTGAGATTACACAGTCCTGAAATGGACAACTTGAGAGTAGAGATGAAATTTGAGTTGGTAGGTAATAGAATGATGTGGTTGAGCTTTCTGGTATTCATGTATCTTTCAGGTGTTTAAGGACCCTGATCTGGAAGACTTCTTTGCCCAGCTGGGTACCTACCAAATTCTTATGGATCTTTTGTTTGAAAATGGAAAATATCAAGATATCTTAGATGTTTTTGAAATTATAAAACAAAGGCAACATCAGGAAGCGAAGTATCCAAAGAATGTTGTTATTCTGACATTTGCAGCATGTTTCAAGTTGGTGAGTATATCTAAAAGCAACATGTTACATCTCACATGTTGCTGCTATTTTTCTAGAGATGTCTACAGTGAAATCCTGCAATAGTCTGTTTTCCCCCCATCAGTGCTAGCAACCCTAAATTAAATCTTGGACATATTGACATCTTTAGAGTGATCTCGCAAATGCTTCATTCAGGGGATATAGTTGTAAATGATATCTGATCTGTAATGACATTCACCTTATGACCTTAAGGGATAAATGAATGAATGTACAAGGGGTGGGCCCTTAAGGGATACATGCAATTTGACAATTACCATTAAGGATGCCATGTAAGATAGAACAAGTTTGACAGAATCTACTGTGAATATGTGCTGTTCTGCCACTGGGCACAGTTTTGAGCCAGCTAAGCCCATTCCACATTTTCACAACCTGTTTCTGGGGCTTTAAAGTGGTCATTTTCCAACAGGTTTCCTCACAAAAATTAAATGTGAATTCTTTGTCTTCCTAGCCCACCTTAACCTCCTTCATTTTACCAACAATGCAGTATGGCCAGTAGAAGGCATGAAAGTTCTCATTATATGCGAGGGTTGGAACTTTAATAGTGGCAACACTGCTGTAGAGACGCCATGCAACAGAACCAAATAATGTTGCTTATACCACACGTTAGTCATATACCTACCTTACCTCAGAGCAAATGAACTCTCCCATCCCACATCACACGCATGTGCAATGACGAGAAGAACAGAGCCTCGTGTTAGCTGGCGGTCTAATGTAGTGTTGTCACGATGTTTTCGAAATGGGAACGACAGAGTTGGATAATGATTGAATGTGCCAGAGGCCTTACAGAACAGTGGCAAGGTGAGTAAAATCCTTCAATGAGGGACGCCAAAATGTGGCAGACATGCATCGGCAAGGTCATCGTAGTGTCAGTGAAGAAGAAGTGTCTGCTCTTTCCGCGTTACTGGAGAGTGATCGATGCCATACGATTCATGAGCTGGCCCGAGAGACAGGATTAGCGCATACGACTGTGCTTCACATTCTGAAGGAACGTCTGGGCACGAGAAAAATTGCATCACGATAGGTTCCACATGATTTGGCGTAAATGCAGAAATGGCTATGATACGGCGCTGCTCTAAACCACTTGGAGCGCTATGAGCGTGAAGGAGAGGCTTTCTTATGCTGTATCATTACACTGGATGAAACATGGGCCAAATCATACGAGCCACAAATGAAACACCAATCGAACGAATGGTGTCATTATGGGTCACCACGAAAATCAAAAGTTTGTCAGAACCCAGCAATGTGAAAGTTATGGTGATTCTCGTGTACGACTGTGATGGTGTTATCCTAACGCATACTGTTCCCTGACAACAGACCGTCAATACACAATATTACTGTTCATTTTTGGAACACAACCTGTGACCAGCTTTGAGAAAGAAGCGGCAACACTTTCTGCAGAACCCACCCATGATTTTGCAGGACAGTGCTCGGCCACATGCAGCACAAGCTGTGGCTGATTTGTTCGATCAGTGGGGCTGGGAAGTGCTGTACCATCCACCATACTCTTTGGACTTAAGCCGTTATGACTTCAACTTGATTCCTAAGACGAAGGAACCACTTCGTGGCATTCGCTTCATAACTGTTCCAGCAGGCAGTAGACTGCTCCCTTCGAACTATCAATACAACAGGTGCTGCTAAAGGTATCCTACGACTTCCACAATGCTTGTGACTACACTGAAGGACAGTAAAACTGAAAGATGCATCTATTTTGTATCAGTTGTAAATAAATAGTTGCCACTATTAAAGTTCCAACCCTCGTGTGACCCTTCATGTTATCTCTCCTAGCTCTATATATTTTCCTTAACATCTGTTTCTATATAGAACCAGGATAGTGCAGTTTGTATAGCAGCTGGCTGCAGGCTGGACAGCCAAGGGGTTGGAGTTCAAGTCCCCACAGGGACAAGATTTTTCTCTGTTCATTATCCAGACTGGCTTTGGGGCCTACACAGCATCATATCCTGTGGAACTGAGAGCTCTTTCCCTGGGGTAAAGCAGCCAGTCTGTGAAGCTGACCACTCACCTCCAACCAGTTCCAACATCATGAAGATGTGGATCTATACATCCACTCCCTCATATGTATTCATGGCATAGTGCTTAATTAGTTAAGCACAGGGACAATTTAACTTGCCTTATTTCTCTCTCTCTCTATATATATATATATATATATATTGTGACATGTCTAACCGTTGCTGGGCAATGGGAGGTGGAACAAGTTACTACGAAGACAGACCCTTGATAAACAATCAATTGCCAAGTTACGCAACAGTAAGGAAAGTACTATTTCTCTGTGCCGTGCCGAGCCAAAGCACGCTGGTTGCCATGCAGCAATAAACAACTCTCGGCAGCATTGCCCAGCAACACCTGTAAACACAGCGATTACGTAACAGGGAAGCGAAGTGCGTTTTCCACTATCCAGCTGAAGATTTATAAGAGAACTGGAATGCCTAAGCAGACAGTTGGAGTCTAGCAGTCGCCGACTTCAGTTGTAGCGAGTGTGGATTGTGAAGCCAGATAGAAGACAATTGAAGTATAGCAGTCGCGGAAAGAAGACTGGAACGTGTGATTAGAGGTGATAGTGTGAGAAGGTATTGGGAGTGTGTAATATGGTGACACTTGTATAACTCCCGTGTTGTACTATGAATAAGTGAAGACTATTGAAGATAGTGTGAAGAGATTATTGTGCAGGGTTTGTAAAGTGTGTATACCCATAACAGTGTTATAAGTATTTGTAGCTACGACTTGTAGGTTGTTAAATAAACCAATTAACAATCTGAACGGCATCTTCGGTAGCAAAACACGTTACAATATATATATTTTTGCTGTGGGTGGATAATTTGAATGTAATATTTGCCAAAAAAACATAAAGGAATAAATACTTTGTTTTCAGGATCATATTGGTAGATATAAAATAAGTGAAATAAATGTTATTGTGTATATTGAATTTGTATTTTATGTATTTGATATTTTTGACTTCCCATTGTTCTCTTTCAGAATACTGCAGACAGTTTTAAATATGGAATGGACCTGTGGAAAGAACTGAAGGAAATTGGCCATATACCTATGCGGAGGGCTATAACATTTGCTGCAGGTCTGGCACTAAATCAAAATGCACCACATATAGCATTTGAAATAATTTCTGGCATGCATCAACAAAATTATGTTACTGTCAGAAATCTAAAGGTACATGTGATAGTAACACTTGACTTCCCTTGTCAATATAAATTTAAAATGTATTTATTGTCTAACTTGGCTAAAGAGTATGAGTAACAAAGAAGTAAAAATATTAAAGACTGATCAGCTGATTGTTCAAAGTTGGCTCAGCTGTATCGATTATTGGTATATATGACTATCAATATACCAAGGAAACCACCTTCTGATTAACAGGATTCTGATGAACAATCTGTATATTTGTAATAGCATTCCCGGGGCACGCGGTAGCGTAGTGGTTGAGGTGCTACGCTACAAGCCGAAAGGTCGCAGGTTCAAATTCCGATGAGGTCATTGGATTTTTTCAGTTGACTTAATCCTTCCAGCCACACTAGGCCCTGGGGTTTACTCAGCCTCTAACAGAAATGAGTACCAGGAATTAAATAATAATTTTCCTGGGGAGTAAAGCGCAGCCGGCGCGTAAGTCTGACATCCTCACTGCCATCTTTGAGCTGATTGTCTAGATAATGTGGGACCCTCGTCTCACAACCCTATGGGCCTTCACGGCCTGGTACAGGGTTAGCTTTACTTTACTTTTTTTACTAGCATTCCCTCCACAGTATACTTTGTTATCACTATTGCTTGGTTTCCATTGGCTTGTGTGTAATACAGATGTACTATGTGAAGATGAAGCTTTATATTATACTGGGCATCAATTTTCAAAATCCTAAAGCAGAAATGGTCCATGAGAGTGTCCTTGCATTCCCCAAAATGTGTTAATGCTTTCCTCGTATAAAAAAAAGTCAAGAATCTTGTCAAAACTTTTTCTTATAGTGCTTGCTAAATATAGACAATAATTTCTTGGCTGATTTCACATATCAAAAAATTAGAAAAAAAGAGTCAACTGCAAGTAACTTTTGAAAGCTGAGTGATCCCCAGACATGTTGGACATGATGAAAAGTAATGGGTATTGTTCACAATCAGAGCAACTTCACTGACTGAGCTCCTGTTTCAGGTGGCAGCCTTAGCTGATATAGGACGACCAGAAGATGCTCTTCCTATCCTTCGAAGCGTTCTTGATGTTGATGTTCCATCTCAAAAGAAACAAACTTTCAGTGAAGAAGTGGTAAAGAAACTGCTGCACATTTAGAAATAGATGATTTTTAGTAATTAAAATTGTTGTGACTAATGCTTTCAAGTATGATCTCACTGATCTTCATGGCCCCTGCCTAACCTAGCACAATAACAATCGACAGTAATTCTACCACATGTTGAAATCATGCTATACTACCTTTAAAATTGTTTCAGTAGGAAGTATGTTTTATAAATGGAGAACAAGTTGAAATGTGTTTTGCTGTATGTATATCTTGGCAACATCATACTTCCTGTTTGCTTTCCCATTTTTGTACCACTGCTACTGACCACTCGTCTAAGAAAATGCAAGCTGTATGTTAAAATTAACTGTCTCTTCTGTACCTGGTGAAATACCTTCCTGATCACTTTGGACTTGCATTTTCTTGAGAATTCTCAATATTAAATTAATCAAAATGTGTAAATGTAATGTTTTCCCCAACTTCAAGATTGGATTTTCATTATAGTGGATATTCAGTTTATCCAACATGCACCAAAATTACAATTTATCAATATATGTAGTAGTAATGCCTGCCAAAGTAAATATTAGTAAATCTCTTGATCGAAAGTGAACTTCCTACATAGAGTAAGACAGAGGAATACCCCATCGCTTCAAAGATACATTTAGGCTTAATCTAAACCACATTTTATGTATATATATTATCACATGTAGGGGGGTACGCATGATGAAGTGACGGGTTCTAGGTCGGATGATTGGATTTATTAACAGCTTGGTTACATCATGCACTCTCTTGATTACACTCAGATACAGGGCAGTCGCTGATTTACATGCACCTCATAATCCTCTGTTGCACACACCGTCACACGCATAAGGTGTTCTAAATCACACTCGACATCCTCAGAAGTGACCTTCTCTGTTCCTGGTTCCACTTTGCTTGCTTCCACCACTCTGAGCTACTCATAACTGCCACAACACTGACGAATACTCTCATTATGTAGCTTCCACACTGACCACACAGGAAACAGCCTGTATTCTTGCAATGTGTTTACTGAGCTATTGCCCAGCAACAGACTCCATAGAAATCAGTTACGTGATAGCTGCCACTGCTGCGTGATGTCACAGCCTAGTATGGATGGGTGTTTACTGAGTGTCACGTAGTGACGGGATGAGTGGGGATATGTGACGTCACTTGCACTTCCTGTTGCGCTATCCAAGCATTCACAGAGTTGTCACCTAGTAACATGCCAATACAATCCACAACTCTCCTGTTGCATGCATGCCCCAAGGCCTCTGTGGCTCAACAGTTCCTGCATTGAGCAAATACGCCACAATATATATATATCCAGATCAGGGATGCACAGCCTTCATCTTCGAAAGGATATATTGCCAGATTGCCTTTCAACTGCAGGAGCTCTTTTCATTGGCTTATTTTATCATGCTGTAACAACTGTTAAGAGTATTGTAAAATATGGACAGTTTATTGCTAAATGAAATGAATAAAAATATTTAACATTTTAACCTGAGATTGCCCTACAGATGCTGAACATTTCAAATGATATATAGTGCATTTTGTGGTCACAAAAGTGACTGAAGTGATTCATTTCATGTGCAGTTTGTTGTTTAGGACATTTAGATGTTCAGATGTTAACACAACGTGGACCAGCAATTTAAATATTTAAATCACCCTGGGGACCGGAATTATTAAACCTACTGTCCTAACTTGTTCACTGTTCACTTTAAAAATTAATATAAAATCTCCTAATTAATTTTGTGAACTAAAATCTTTGGAGAACACTTACCAGTGCTCCTAGAAGTGCTTGAGAGTGTGATATTTCTGGAAACATTCCCCTTTGTGAAGTGGCATTACACAAAACATGCAAATATAGGCAGTCATACTCCTTTTTCTGTGAACTGTGCAAACACGACATTGCCTAGAAGGATGCTTCCCCTTGGAATGTTCACTCTTCACAATTTTCACGAGGGTATGTTTCAGCATATCACCCGAGAGTCACCCTGGGGGGTTCCACATGAGGCCTGCGTGGGGTGGGAGTTGATGGGCCCGGTCACACTAAGTCTGTGTCTGACTCTGGTTCTGCCACCACCATCTGGTCTGTAGCCCAGGCCTTTGCCACATTAATCAGAAATGCTTTGTATTTCAATTTTGAATCTGGGTTTAGATTTTTGTGATTTTTTTATATTTTTTACTGTCCCCCCATTTTTGTCGGAGCTACTGTCACTTTTACTGTCTGTGGCCACAAATCTTTGTTGTCCTCTGTCGCTGCCGCTGTCTGAGTCACCATCACTACGCATCTCACAAGGCACATAAGCTAGCTCATCTGAGAAGAATTTGTCCTTGATCCATACTCCACCACTAACTACTGGCTGATACATACAACTTGAAGACAGGCAAAGCATTTTTATTTGGTTAAGAAAACAGCTAGGTCATGTTACTGAATACTAAGCAAAAATTCCAGAGTTTTATTGCTTACTACCCATGCAGCTGCGCAGCAAAAGAGCAAGGTATGGTGTGTTGCAACCTAACATGTCCTAAAATCATGATATCATGCGACCGGTCTTTAATGTGTTAAGACCAGATTGCATATCCAGTTTGCTCTTGAACGTGATTCAGGTTAAAGCATTTCACACTAACAGAGATTATGTTTTTGGCTACGCATTGTACATATACACAGTTCACTCAGGCAAGCATTGATTTTATAATACTAATACCATTGCCCCCACTCCACATTAAAATCCTACTACCAGCCCCATGCATCTTTGACTTTGAATAGTAATAAAAATAAGCAAAAACATATACCTACTAGGTCGTCCAACTTCACAGTAGTACACAGTGGCATTACATTCATTTTTTATTTCTCTAAGGAGCACACCAGACTATGGTTTACCTCATGCAACCAAATAAAATTGTCTGAAACCCAAGTTCTTCTTGCCAGGTAGGTTTTAGTGATGAATTATGCAAGCATATTGCACTAATTATTTCTGGACTGCTACTATTTGCATGTGTTTGTAACATATTAGGATAACACACCATATTTTAGAGCCAGTCATAGATGGTGCACAATCTGTAACTCTGCTAGCAACTGAACCAGATGTTTTATAACAAAACTTCCACAATACCAGGCTGAGCCTTCTAGGTTTAAGTAATTGCATTTCCTGTGCATCAGATATGATTGTTATACCAATAAGATTCTATCAGTGGTTTGCTGTGAAAACGGTGTGTATAAAGTGAAGTTGAGAGTGACTTCTGACCTGCCTATGCCCCGCATTGTCTAAATGAATTGCTGTAAGACCTTCGTTTTCTTTTTAATTACATTACCCTCAGGGAAGAGCTCTATGAAAAAAGAGTTCTGTAGTGATTTAAAATGTTTTGTACATAGGAGAGATCCTAGAGTTGATAAAAGAAGAGACTTTAGTATTAATATTCTGATTGATGTATTTACAGATCCAGAAACTAAGAGCTTCTGCAGATAAGACTGGAAATAAAGAAACCATTTACGAGTTTCAGCAGATAGTAAAACGGCTAAGTGAGGGAGGGCACATCACTGATGAGGTAATTTCACAATAACAGTGTACATGAAAGATGAAATCCTTGAGCCTCTGACATTGATTATTAAGTACCGCTGATTGCATTGACAGATACTGATACTGTGTGATTATGGACTGTTAATCTTCAAAATGTTTTTCAGTTGCTTCTTTATCAAACGAAATATATAAAATGTAATTTATATGCCTCAGTGTAGTTGTATTTACTGTCAGTGACAGACTTCAGTGTGCAATAAATGGACATCAAGAGTAAAGAAAGATGCAGGTTCATGAGTGTCTGAACTTATGATCATATGTTTTGTTTACAGGGTTTGGATGAACAGTTATGCATGCAGATTGCAGAAACATTCAGAAATTCAGCTCAGGAGAGGAATCAGAGATTTCTGGCAGCTAGCTTTAGTAGACAAGACCATGGCCGTGCAAGGACATATGCACGTCCTGGTTTGAAAGATATGTATTGACCTGGTCTTCACTCTGTGATGCAATGATTATTAATTTTTATAGGAATATTAGACTTTCAGCAGAATCATTATCTTGTATCATACAATAAATTAAACATGTCAAATTACTTTCATGAATAAATAAATTGAGTCCTGACTATTGTTACCGAGATATTTGTCTCCTAACTTAGTGTTTCTCAACCACGAGGCCATGGCCTGATACCAGGCCCTCATCTTACAAAAAAAAAATTACCAGGCCGCAGTCTCACAAAGGTTGAGAACCACTGTCCTAACTTGTCCATCTTGTTGACATGCACAAATGGTCTGTTTTAAGGGTCTATCTAAAAAGACTCTTCTGTTGTAATGGCATATAATTACAAAGCTATGCAGCAAACATCACTGTATTTTGTGTCTGTTAGTAGTCTTGGGAGACTAACAGCCACACAAACACATTTTCAGCATGTCCTCCATCCACAGGTGACACTGGAAATATCACAAGCTGCAGCTAGAGTTTTTCACTGACAGTGATCACTGCTACTAAACTTCTGTGATTGTGTAAAGATTGTTTTTGTAAAGTTTATCTTTCAGGATGCCCCCATAAGAAATAAACATGCAAGTTAACATCTGGAGAGTATGATGGCCAGGGTCACCCATATCTGAACCTTTTGGGAAAATGATTAGACACTATCATCAAAATGCTCATCATGCACATCCAGTAGTACATTTGCAATCTGTGGCTGAGCCCATTCCTGTTGACAAAATTTTTCTCCAAAATTTGTACCATTTCTTTGGAGAAATGGAAGGAATTCTTCAACATGCATACTTATTCTGCTCGTTCATGTGGCCACTCATGAAAATGAACCTCATCACTGAATCATGATTTGGGGTACTGCTGAGTTGTCCTGCAAAAACATCTTTGTCACCATAGAAGTCAACTGTATTGGTTTTACCAGCATCATGACAGTTTTGCATCACTTGAAATCTAAGCATTGTAGAATGGGTGCATAACACTATTTACTGGAGCAATTAGTGTTTCAAACAAAATTTGCATTGTAAAAATGAAACAAATTTTATATTAAGTATATTTTTCCTGTCTTACAGTTTTCATGCAAGAACTGTTAAGTTGCCCATAATTTCCATATTATCTTTATGTTCAAGGAACATAGCATTATTGATTAAATCATGGCTTACAATGTTGTTTTTCCATCATTAATTAACCTGCCTAGTGCTCACATATGGAAGTAACAAACTGTGCAAAGCACCTACAATAAAGTAACCACTAGTAACAACACAGAAAAGCAGCTACAAGAGGACAATACCCGTGTATTCATTGGGTACATTTGAATGATGTCCCTACATTGACTTTGAAGAAGTCTGGTACAAAGCAGTACGATTCACACCATGTCTGAGGAGACACTGGTCACAGATCATTAAGATAATGATAATCATCCTGACATCTTGCATGCCTGACCTTTTCCAAAGAAATGCTATAGTTTACTAAGAGCCATGAACCCTGACTTGTTTCTAGGTCATAAACAATTCACATTTCGTTTCATGGTCAGTTTTCTTCATAACTTTAAAAGGCATGGCTTTCAAAAGAAACCAATGCATATTGACACTGTTAGCTCATGCGGTATCCTGCAACATTTTCAGAAATTTCTACTCATGTCCAAACGATGCAAAGTTTCTCCCCATCTCAACACAAACCTAACGTGGCAAGAATGTGAAGAGCTCCGAGACATTCTGCTCACCATCTGTGGCTGATAATAAAAACTAGCCAAGTTTTGACAGGACAGTGATGATGAATGAGTGTTCTTGGTGTTCCTACAAGCAATTCATTAAGTGCTTTATCTCTGTGTATGTGAATGTGGAGACTGTGATTCACCATAGAAGCTAAATCATTTATGTTGTAGATGCGCCTCCATCTGGTGTAAAAGTAAAGTAAAAGTAAAGCTATCCCTGTAACAGGCCATGAAGACCCATAGGGTTGTGACACGTTGAGGGTCCCACATTATCTAGAGAATAGGCTCAAAGATGGTGGTAAGGTTGTCAGCCTTATGCGCTGGCCGCGCTTTACTCCCCAGGAAAATTATTTATTTGATTCATGGTACTCATTTCTGTTGGAGGCTGAGTGAACCCCAGGGGCCATAGTGCGGCCAGAATGATTAGGTCAATTGAAAAAAATCCAATATCATCGGTATTTGAACCCGCGACCTTCCAACCTGTATCATAGTACCTTAACCACTACACTACCGCATGCTCCCATTGTAACTGGTGTACAAATACAAAATAATATTGAAAGTAGGAACAATTGCATACAACAATTAATTAAGTAGTATAACTTGTAAATCCATCATATGGGTAATAAAGGAATTTTACCATATTTTTTCACAGGAAGGTAACAATCTTAAGCTAAGTGAAAGTAAGTAGGTTTAGAGTGTTACACCACTTAATCACTTGAAAAATGGACAACATATTTCAAAGTTTAAACTCTACTCCCGGATTTATCAGTTCTGTGAAGAAGAGGCTGCTCTTTACACAAAGGCTGGCCTCAAAGCTACAAGTCTTCCACTACTGAAAACAAATCCTTGACAAAACAGAATTGTCACTGTGCAACACACATCAATAAAACGGATTTATAGAGATGTTTTGTAAAATGTTCATAGTTTGCTAAGTAAAAATTCCTCAAGTGGTGATCAAAGCGATGCAATTACAAAAATGTTGCCTGTGTTACAGTACTTTGTTGTACTTCAGCACCCTGTTGCATTAATATTGTCTTTTTATATATATATTACCGTTTTAAATGCAACATTTATTGTCTTTTATCTTATGTTACTACGACATGTTTCAGCCCTATATGGCTGTCATCAGGTACGTGTGATTTCTGCTAAAATTGGTTCAGTGTATGATCTAGTTTGTGTCACACGACTATATTTGATGTTAATCTTCAAAGTTATTTGTTCGTAGAGCTAATTAAGAGTTTTATTGAAATATATCTGTTAAAATTCGGTTGCGCTGCATTCGGTTCCACGACGTGAATGTTATGTGTTATTATAACTGTGCTCTCTATGCAGAGTTTATAATTGTCTGTTACGTGCTTTGTGGTGGCTTGTCCCTGTTGGGTTCGTTGTCCATGTGTGGAGATCAACGCCGAGGCACTCTATGCAGTGCAAGAGAATTCTAACAGGTACATTTTAATTAACTTTTAAAGGTAAAATTGTCCCTGTGCCTAACTAATTAAGCACTACGTCATGAAGACGTATGGGGGAGTGGATGTATAGGCTCACATTTTCTTGACCTCGGCACTAGTTGGAAGTGAGTGGTCAGCTTCACCCCCCGGCCGCTTTACCCCTTGAGCGAAAGAGCCCCCCCGATACCCAATGGCTAGGAGACTCGATGGACCTCAGAGCAGGTCTGGATGACATGGAGAAGTGAAAATTCTTGATCCTACCGGGACTCGAACTCCGACCCCTCGGTCTTCCAGCCTGTAGCCAGTCGCTATCCCGGCTCTTAATTAGCTTTTAAAGAAATTTAAATTATTTCTTTTTAATTCGCATAGTGGGGGTGGAGTTCAGCTGGGTCCACTCGGTACGTCGGCCACTGATTGGCCCGGGGTGATTATGATGATGGAGAATTTGTTGGAATGAAGATTGACAACGGAAACCGAAGTACTCGGAGAAAACCTGCCCCAGCGCCACTTTGTCCAGATTCCTCTTGACCAGATCCGAGCTCGAACCCACCGCCTCGGTGGGAATCCAGCGACTAGCCGCTTGAGCTATGGCGCGGCCACTTTAATTATTTTATGAACAAATAATTTAAAAAACTGACATCGAGTGTAGCCATATGACACAAAATAAGAACATATACTGCCTCATGACGGCCGAACCACACGTAGTAATATGATATATTAAATGTTGCATTTAAGGTAGTAATATATACATACGAAGGTGTAATTTGTCTGCTCAGGAGCGTTGTTTTGTTCAACGGCCAATTTGAAGTTTCTTTCAGCGACCTGTCCAAATGCGGCTTCTGTCAGCCACATCTGAACCTCAGGGGTGTCCAGTTTCACAAAGTCTGCCGGAGCACCAACTTACCATTGCGGCCTCATTCACTGGCACTGTACTAACTCTATATCAATTGCCTGACGTACCTCACAGAAATCTTACATCCATTTCCTAATTATTCTGCCAGCGATCCTTATAGACTGAAAAACAGCAGGGAGAAATATGACCACTTACCTTATATGTGACACCTTGCTGTACTGTTGACGTCGATAATGAAGCTCATAGTTGGTGCTGACGTTGTAGCTGGTATTATCGATGTTGAAGCTGGCAGTAGTGTTTCTTGAAGTTCAAACTTAGCACTAATTCTTAAAACACTAAAGGATTTCTGAACATCATTTTATAGCACTTACTACACTGATTATTTCACTTCCATCACATTACCGAATCTGCATTCTGTAGTTTCACTGCTCTTTCGCGCTAACCGGAAATACATTTTCCTTAGAGACTTGCATAATTATTTTCAAAAGGCAGATACATGTATTTCTAATGTTTCACTATACTCTTTGATTCTCGTCTTTCATCACTTCACTTACTTCACACTCCATGCAATTGCAAGCCTTCATTTCGTGAACAACTTAACATTAAACTTATCTTCAAGCTTTCGTTCCTCACAGTAGATGCACTTCTGCTTTAAATGCAATGTGATAGGTTCTTTTTTTTTATGTATGCAGATCTCGCTACTTTCTAAAGAATGCTTCTGCCCCAATTTGTAAAACACAATAATATCAGACAGAAGAAAATTGTGTAAAATAGAAAATCGCTCGATTAAACAATCTATCAAGTATTTCCAGAAATCACTCAAGACAAAACAAAAGTTACATGTCTACGAATGAAAACGTTTACGACTGCAACATGTAACTTGACATTTTGCCGCCAAACGCGGGAAAAAAAGACAATTTTCATAATTTTTCATTGTCCCATTTAACTATTCTACCATGCCGACTGCCGTATCTTTCCCTGTCCGCAGGCTACATTATCCATCGTATTCACATCACCAGTTACTTTCCCTGAAATGCTGGAAAAATATGTTTCATTGACTAGTTTAAAACAATTAACTTTAATATTTAACACGTCTGTGAAGTACGCTACAACTATTACACTGTTCTCTCCACTTGACACGCGCACAAGCGAGCACGTCCCGGTACCTACTGGTCAGAGATGTCAGAGAGTGATTATGAATTTGATCCTGCACTTCTGTCATGCGGTATCCTATCGGAGATGTTCTGTACTATTATCATTAGTATTTACGTATGCTGCTGTTATTCACTGTGAATGCCTATTAAGCAATGTTATTAAAATTATTAATTTATTTTATATTATTTTTCATTTTTCCTCACTTCCTAATTTTCGTGTCTCGAAACTAAATACGTAAGTAGTATTTCCCTGCAGAATGAACCGAAATATTATACCTTATGCGATCGTACACCTATCTGAAAATAGTTAATGTATTTTTTTGTTGTTTGCAGTTTATTTATTTATTTACATATGTATTTATATACATTTATGTAATTATTTATTTACACATACTTCTTCGTTTTTACTTACCTACATTTTACTATTTATTTGCTTACTAAATTATTTATTAATAAGTTTATTAAAAAGGTAGAGTTGTCCCTGTGCTTAACTAAGCACTAAGCAATGAAGGCGCGTGGGGGAGCAGATATATAGGTCCGAATTTTCTTGACCTCGGCACTAGTTGGAGGTGAGTGGTCAGCTTCACGCCCTTGCCGCTTTACCTCCGGGAAAAGAGGCCCCAATACCCACTGGATAGGAGGCTGGGTGGGCCCCAGAGCCGGTCTTGACTATGTGGAGAAGAGAAAATTCTTGACCCTACCGGGACTCGAACTCCTACCCTTCGGTCGTCCAGCCTATAGCCAGTCCCTGTACTAACTACGCTGTCTCAGATCCTAATAAGTTTATTATTCATTACTTTACTCTTGGTTCACCAGATAATATTGTCAGTAGCTGACAGTATATGTCATCGAAAAGCTCCACCCCCTCGTGAACTTAAGCAACAAGATATACAAGCTATGATGATAACATTTGCATGAGACGAGGGGCGAGGCGGTGGCCATAGGCTATGGCAGGGCAATTGCTGAAGATTTTTGTGGGCAGGCTGTTGAATATTTGAATTTATTTCTCAAGATATCCATTTTCTGGCAAAGGGTTCAACATTGGTACCTTCACAACTCTTTAAAGGATTGCTGTAAAAGAATGCAAAGTTGTCCCTTTGTCTAATTGAGCACTGTACCATGAAGAAATATGGAGGAATAAAGATGTAGCTCCACCATTCTTAACCTTGACACTAAATTGAGATTAGTTGTCAGCTTCAAGCTCCGGCCGCTTTATCCCCGGTACCCATTGGATAGAATGCTAGGTGGGCCCCAAAGTGGCTCTTGACATTGTGGAGAACTGACTGAGCTCTCCCAACTCCTTAAAGAATTGCTATAATGTTACAAACTACAGCCATGTTGTTTTTCTTATTGTCATTACTGTTGTAATTGTTATAATATTAATTATTATGTAATTGACCATTGGCTGTTTAGCTCAGCATGTAAATAAATAAAGAATCGAATTCTTCTAATCATCATCATCATCGCTGTTAATTTCTGTATTTGACTTCGTGCTTATACCACTGCAATATGACATACTCTTAACTAATTATAAAATTATGTTGGGCATTGTCCACTGCCTTAGCTATATTTAAAATTATTCGAAGCTAGATCTGCTTCTATATCAAGTGTAAAATGGGAAAGGGTTCCTACTCAGTTGGGCATGTTAGAACTAGTCTTGGTCACCTACTCAGCCAGTAAAAGGATTACTCCAATAGGTAATGGCCCTTTTTACTAAAATTAGAACTTGGTAGGTACCTGGTTTAAGCTGGTATCAAGTTTCTCTTCAATACTGGTATTTCATCCCCTCCCTTGCAAACACAAATCAAATAAGCTTAGTATTAATTAAATACATAGTATTTATTCAATGATTGATTTACTTTACATATGTAAAATTGTATCAAAATGTTTGCATAAAACTGAACATGATCATAACCTTTTGCATGAGAATCACTGAATTAAGTAATTAATGTTACTGATATATCTTTCGGTAGATCAGTGTAGTTACAAATACCTTCAGATTTCTATTTCAGTCTCTAAATAAAACAAAACTGGGTGTACTTACCAGATACGTTCAGCAGAAGGAATTACATGATTTGTCAATATCCATAATTTTCATATTACTTGTTAAGAAAAAATATAGCTAATGTCAGACAAGGAAATGGTGTTTTGGAATTCTGGAGGTGCCTTGTTTATATAAACTGACTAAAAGTAAAAAAGTAAAGCTATCCCTGTAACAGGCCGTGAAGGCCCATAGGGTTGTGAGACATTAAGGGTCCCACATTACCTTGACAATCGGCTCAAAGATGGCGGTAAGTTTGTCAGCCTTACGCGCTGGCCACGCTTCACTCCCCAGGAAAATTATTTAATTAATTCCTGATACTCATTTCTGTTAGAGGCTGAGTAAACCCCAGGGCCTAGTGCAGCCGGAAGCATTAGGTCAATTGAAAAAATCCAATGACCTCATCAGGACTTGAACCCGTGACCTTCCAGCTTGTGGCATAGTACCTTAAACACTACGCTACCGCATACCCCATATAAAGTGACTAACTACAATTAAAACAAACTCTTCCCTTTTAATAAATAAACAGTTTACCTTATGCTCCATGATTTTACAGATATAACCAGTTTGGCAGAGAGGCCTGAAACTAGTTTTGGCATAGTGATGTCGACCAGGCTTCAAAATTGGGATAACCATACCTTCTCTCCAGGCAGATAGGAGATAGTTAACTGACCACATATTATTGTATATGGGCAGATGGGAGAAAAGGTGAAACAGCTCCTTGTTTTGGATATTGTCAAGGCCTGAGGACATGATGTGAGATCTAATGCCAAAATAGTCTGTCCAAGCAAAATGGAGCTCTATGCAGTTCTGGGACCCAAGATGTAAAGTTTGGCAGCAGTCTTTCTGCATTGTCTTTAAAACTTTTAAAAGCAAGATCGTAACTGTTGCTACTAAAACCAGAAGTAAAATGAAATGAAAGTGAGTTTACAATGTCTACTCACAGTGCCTACCAGTGACATCAGCAAGCGAAAGGACAGCAATATTTGGTAACACCATAAGCTGTGAAACAGAAGGAAGTATGTAGCACAATGCAGATTGGTATGCTGATCCTGTCATTTATCTAGGAAGGCTATTGAAACCTTAACACCATAATCAAACCAAAATTTAAATCATGCACATTCTGAGTGCAAGGCCAGTGAGCTACCCTGTTTAGATAAATCAGTGTGATATCCACTCAAAGCATTCCTTGATCACCATGAGACTCTAAATTTCTGTTCTAACACAAGACATAATAAAACTAGTGTTAAAAGACTGTGTTACTGTACGTACCTAGAACATTGCAAAGGGCTGTACATGTTATACACAGAATGTCTCCTTAAGGATGTAGGGAGATATGAATGAAATCAGACCTTGCTTTCACGTCTCTCTGGGTAAAAATAAATTGAAGGAAAATAGTAAAATTAGTATTTATTTTCCAGTTACATAAATTATACAGTTCAAGAAAAAAGTTATATGAAGAGATCTATATTTCAACTTACATTCATAGTAAAATACGTGTATTTTTTAAATTTTCAACATTCTTATGGTCTCTACAATTTCAACAGTTTTACTTAAAATAATGTTCAGTTTTCACAGGTAGGTAGAGAGACCTTACAAAGATAGACTATACACTGTAAAATAGCTATATAAGTTGGCCACTGGCACAAAGTGAAGACAAATACTAATAAATCAACCCACCCAATTTTCAAGGAATGTCTGCGAATTGTAAGGAATGGAAAACATTATGGTGGCTTGATGAATAGTACAGGGAAGGGATTCTCTCCCTTAGAACTGGCAAAAAACTTTTAAAAATACTAAGACTATTTAGTTATTAAATATCTTAATATTGCAAGTATATTCTCTTTTTGCTCACTTCACTAACATGTTTATTTATTGGCACAAGAAAACTTTTGTGCATTCTTACATCATAAATATCAGTACCACTTCATTCTGTCCTATTTCCAACAGAGTCTATCTTCATTTCATTCTGTTAGCCAGACCATTGGCTGAACCTCACTCACCATGCATCAGGATCGTTGCATTTAACAACACAAAGTAATATCATGGAACTGCATAGTTTGTGCCCAGTTGCAATAAACACAGGTCACTGATGCACAGAAAGCAACACCCAATAGTCTGGCTGGTAAGGACAAACTGGCATTTACATATGTCGGGTATTGCCAAAGTTGATGCCACTTTGGTTGGCCCCCTTGTTGCTGCCATACTGAAGACTTATCACACCTTGACCTGCGCGCATCTGTTCTTCAGAGAAGTTACGAACATTCTTCTCAGCTTCCTTCGGACCAATGCTAGGCTTTCCATAATTACCCGCCTGAAAACAGAAATCGGACCCTGAATTTACATCTGAAATAACTGTCTTGGTAAGCCCTCTGCTTTCAACTGCCAGCTTAACACATAATGATAAGCCAATGGTTCTCAAAACTTCTGTTTATATCAGCAACAAAGATCTGATGCTGAACCAATGCAAATATAACCTTACACATTTCTGTAAAAATGTAGCTGCCATTCTTAGAAATTCCTCGATTTACATAAAGCCTTCCTGCACATATGTACAGTCCTTGGACCCAAAGTTAGTCAAAAATTACTGCAGGATGTGGAATAAGACATAAAAACATAACACTTATGTACAGTACAACTAAAGCTTTCATACAAAAAATACACAGACGATTCATATAATGCATTCAAATGTTTCAAACAGATCCATACACATACATCAGCACTCTCCACATATGCTATTTGTAAAAATCTTTGAGGAAATTATTAATCATTTTCAGACAACATAAATTCTTCAACATTGCTCCTCTCAATTGTGACTCTTCATTCATACGACTTCTGAGATTAGACAGAAGATTGTTGAAAATGTTGATGCAGCATAGTATGCACTCTTTCTTGTAGAACACGAGAGGATGGCCACTGGTCTATAAAGATGGTGCATGTTCTTTGTGTCAACACTATGGACAGCTGAATTAGTCTGAGAATATTCTTGGTCATTTACAGTGAAGCTCTTGATGAAAATATGTATTCTCATGGGAAAGGCAAGAACTCTGATCTCTTTAACAATCCTCTACATGAATTTTTAGGTTTTACACCCATCATGCTTCTAACAATTGTCCTCTGCTATGTAAATATCTTTTTGCTGTTCGATGAATTACTCCAGAAAAGTATTCTGTACTTCATTTTTAGGTTGATTGCAAAAAAAAAAAACAGATATGTAAAGCAGCTGCTGTTAACAACAAGAAAGTTAAATTTCATCGAACTCAGAGATCCTACTGATTGCCTATATATCAGGGGAAGTCCCTACACTTCCTCCAATTAACTTTCCTCGACCTTCTACCACCTTCATTTAAGCACAAGTGTCTCTCCAAAGCATTACGGTAAATACCCATCTTACAGAAAATAAAATATAAAAATTCATTATTAAATACAGTATTTCCAGTCGACACAGAAACGTGAATTTCAAGTTTTTGTGGTTCCATAAATTTGCTTATACACTAAAACCTCACTAACCTGAACCCTCTACTGTCTACAAAGCCATATTTTTTAATGTAAATATCTTATTTATGCAGAACAGAAAAGTTTCCTACGCTAGAGTTTAATGATGCAATTTCCCACTTCCTGTTGGCTTTGATAAGCATTAAAATACATCTATGGCATCTGATTTATACTGAAACCAATACAATATTCCATGTTTAATTTAAATTTTGTTTTCAATATAAACATTTTCATAAAATCTTCCTTTTTCTTTTCATCATATAGTATTTGTGTCCTAATACCATTTAAGTTAACATTTGTTGGACTGTGCCCATATTTTCTTATTTTTATTAACTTGAACGTACTAACATAACTATATTCCATAATTCATACTTTTCACTAATTCAGGCTACCCTATCCCCCTATTAGTCTGAATTAATGAGGTTTCACTGTACCTCTAAAGACTGTTTAATGTAGAATTGAAAAACAATCTACTTGGTCTACAATTTGTCCTCCAACCATGGACATTTTTCTGTATTACATTTCCTAGAAGTATACGCTACTTAGTAATAAAGTAACACATACATGTAACACAAATTTCTGATATGGATCATAAATATGAGTACTCTGTTAAAAAATATCTCTTCAGGAACACAATCCTCAAATTCAGCCTTCTACTGTGACATAGGACACTAAATAACAATTTAATATATAAAACCATCAATACAACAGACTTTTGTCCCTTTTGTTGTGAGATAGAGTCCGCAACATAAAGAACAAAAACATGTTATATTCATTGTTGTTTATAAAAGAAACTGTTACTTATTCACTTTCAACACAGACTACACAGAGCCCCTAATTTATGTGTGTTTTCTGGAATGGAACTATAGAAATTCAGGTATACCTGTGAAATTACTTCACTCACAGTTTCAAAAAGAAACAGGAAAAATGAAAAATGAAAAAAAAAAATATATCAGAATTTAGAACTGGAATGTCAGTCAGTTTTACATCACATAATCAATGACTAAGAGTATTACCACCTCATACAACATTGTTCCTTCTCCAAATTCCAGATATCACAATCTAATTTCTTCACAGAAATAAAGATAAAGTTCAGGTCCAAAGTACACATGATGTAAATAAAGGTATAAGAAATTAAGGATATTATCTGAGCAGCAGAATCCACCATCCCTACTGTTTGGCTGTAGAATGACAAGACTTCTATGTATCTATATCTATCTAGTATATATAACAAAAAATGAAATTCAAACTGCATATAAAAGATGAGTACAGGTATTGTGGTGCCAGTTAGCTGTGGCATTGAGTCTGCAGCAGCTGAAACTACAGACACTCAATTCAATTTATGCAACAGCCATGCAGAGGATGAAATCATACAGGCTGGACATAAGTTTCCCATTGGAATCAACATGAATGTCTGAGATCTGCTATAAAAAGTATCAGAATATTATTCATAATGTTGTATTTTAGCGTCCTGTTGCACTGATTTTCACTCTCTATACCAAGCTACATGTCAGGATCATCATAAAAACACTGTAAATATGTACAGTATGGAACCTATTACAGACCAAAGGCTTTCCTGATTTTGGTTCCCTTAGCCAAGAAAAATTGTAAAACATGTAAATTCAACAATTAAAAACATGCATTAATATTTCCTTTACCCAAAACATGTCTGAAGTTCAACAATGAGAGCAAGAATTATCTATCACTTTTGTCAGCAGAACAGCATTTTCAAACTTGTGGTGCAAATTGAGTGCACTACAAGACGGCCACTGTATACATATCATGTATCAGAATATTCTTACCATTATTTTAACTGCTTGCCTAATGCTATACAGCATGTCCCCTTCATATTTTAATAATATTTATGGCATTTCAATATAAATAGTGTTTCTAATTATTTACTTTGAAAAATGAATGCTGGATATTACCAATTCATATGCCATATTATCCTTAAAACATGCATATAAAACCTGCACCGCTGACATCAAAGTCACTTTCCCAGTTGTCCCAAGACACATGCAAAAGCAGTTCTGTTACTCACCTTCCTACCAAGAGACTGCAGACAAATGACAACAGAGTTAAGATTTTGTCTTTCCCACAAATCAACAGTCTGAAAGGTTTCTTGAGGTGGAACACCTAGGTCTCTGGCTGCTTCAAGGAATACGTTGATGTTTTCCATACACTTAAATGCCATAGTGCTTTGATTAATTTTCTTCGCTGATCCTGGTTTGATGCAGTTCACTAGCCTGAAATACCACATATTATGATTAGCTTCATATTTTGTTGGAAGGCACATCCACAATAATGGTACCAACAGAAATAATTCTATTAGCACTAGTGAAGAGGAATAAATTAAAATAAGTAACAGAAATATAGTTATCAAAGTTCTCTTCCAAAAAAGCTTTCTGGAGTATATAACTTCCCATCAGTCCAATATTATCCCTGTTTTAAGCAAAGCTTAGACAGCTCCATCCAACCTTAAAAATGGTGTCTCTTTAAGAAATCTAGTCAAAACAACTACAACTTTTATGTGAAACTTTTATCAATGTTGTGTAAAATTAGTTAAATGAACATGATATCTCTATGAAGATCAGTATTCAGTTCCCAACAAGGAGTATAAATAGGAGTGAGAAATTCAGCAGAACTCCTGGATTCATTCATTTTATTTTCTTCGAGGAATCCATAACAGTGATCATCACCTAGGATGTAGTAGATGTCCTCATACAATAAAATAAGATATACATAACTAAACTCAAAGAGACAGAAAGAGCAATTTTAGGTTGATAATATACTTGATGACAGCAATGCATTCTTTCACACACACATACAAAGTGCTGAGAGGAAGGCACAGAATGAATGAAGATGAATGGCACTGAACTACAGACTTATGCAGTGATCAGCAAGAAGCCAAAGCTCGGGCTGGAAAGAATTTTGAGGCTATCATCAATATTAGGCTACCTTAAACTCATGGATGGCTGCTTTGTGCCATTAAGACCTTCAGAGCTGTGTGCAGACCCTTAGAACACTGGTACCCTAACTGTTATTACACTGTTGCTAGAACCAATTTTTTTATTGCTAGTGGGGTGGGACTAAGTCCCTTGTACTGTGGCCACTTCTGGTCTATTGTACCATGCTAGAACCATTACTTTCCTTCTGTCTGAGTTGCTGCTGTGCTGACATACCATAAAATCAAAGTTGCAAAACCGAAAACAAAAATGCAACATCAGCCTCAATGCATTATTACTTCCAAGAACAGTTCACATAAATGTGGAAATTTCAACTGAGAAGAGATATTTCAGTTGGCTGCATACTTGCTGAATGAGCAGGTGAAAAAGAAAGAAGATTCAAAAGACTCAGCTGCTGAATAATATTCTTCACTGTCACATCCAAGATCGTAATACAGAATCAGTCACTTAAATCTTGTGACGGTTCTCCTTTGCAAATCTAACAAGCAACAGACATATCTATATTGAAAGCGTCATTTGTGTTTTGTTCATTAGTGCTACTAAAACAAAACTGAGAAACATGTATTATGCTGTAAATTTCTTCAGCCACATATTGCTGGCGCCATTCATCCATCTCATGAAAGAACACAAAATCAGCCATCAGTTGATGTGTACAAATGGACCTACAGCAATGTAGGGGGGAAGGCAGGGATGGTAGCCCATATTAAAACCTTCACACCAAAGTAATTATTTATATTTTAGCTTGCAAAGTGAGCAAGGCACAATGATCTTCACTTCAAACCGAAAGTATTCAGTCTGATTACACCACACTTCAGCATCTTTGACTACATTCCTTTAATTTTCAGCTAATATATACAGGTGTGACCAAATTTAATTTATAATGTATGCTTTTTGTTGGCCTGTGGATTTATCAGGATTTGTTTAAAATAAGAACACCTCTGCAGAAAAAAAAGTTATGGAACACACTGCCTTTGAGCAGTTTTATTTTTGCCAACCTGCAAAGCAAGGTGCCATCCTTGAGGATCTCATAAAAATTATCCATGTCACCCGAAACACTGAAGTCCTCCTGGGTGATGGCCTTTATCCATTCCAGCGATTCTTGAGCCAGCTCTTCACTGTATTTGCTGTTTATCTGAAATTAGGAAAATAATATTAATTCATACTGAATCTACATGGCATATACAAGCAAGAACTGTTTACTATTGTAATTGTTTAACAATGTTGTTTTAAAGTTTTAAAGCCATCATCATGAATGCTGAGAGTTGCTGAGGGTTTGGAACAAGGTAGCTGTAACACATTTCAAGTCACTTGCAAATTTCCCCCACAAAAGCTTAAGAACAACCAGCAACCCGAGAGATTCGAACCATAGCCCACCTGAATGTGAGTGTAGATATTACTACTACACCAATGTGCCCAGTCTCTATACCAAGCTACATGTCAGGGTCATCATAAAAACACTGTAAATATGTACAGTATGGAACCTATTACAGACCAAAGGCTTTCCTGATTTTGGTTCCCTTAGCCAAGAAAAATTGTAAAACATGTAAATTCAACAATTAAAAACATGCATTAATATTTCCTTTACCCAAAACATGTCTGAAGTTCAACAATGAGAGCAAGAATTATCTATCACTTTTGTCAGCAGAACAGCATTTTCAAACTTGTGGTGCCTCTATCGCAGAGTGGCAGTTAAAAAAGAACCCCTTCCAGATAATTGGATTTTGAATATGGATTCCCTGTTGTTAGTATTTTCTCCCACTGTCTCCCATGCAAATTCCACATCAGCAATACTTTGAAATAGGCCACGCTCACAATTCCTCAGTTCTTGCCTAATTTATGTTGCATTCATACTTACACATTCAAAACCAAACCTTATAATGAACAGCTAATGAAGCTGTAACACTCCAAGTAGTTACTATAGGATTCTGACGATGGTGTATAACACACTGATATATTGGGTTTTCGGACTTTACCCATCGTCCTGGTTTTTAGGATAACTAATAAAAACACCACGTTTCGGAAACTGGATCTGTTTCCATCCTCAGGTGAAGCAAAACACCTATTCTGTTGGGAATAGGACGGAAACAGATCCAGTTTCCGAAACGTCGTGTTTTTATTAGTTATCTTAAAAACCAGGACGATGGATAAAGTCCGAAAACCCAATATATCACTGTAACACTCTAGATTTGCATCTGAGAAGAACCTAGTTCACATCCCAGCTGGGTTTCTAGCTAATCTTAAGTGTGATCTGATTCAATTTTCCAAGGTAAACACTGGTCTGGTGCCCAGAAATAGGCCATGACTGCTCTTTTCCTGAATCTTATGCTCTGTGCATTCATGATCACCTTCAGAGTTCATTTGACAATATATGACCCATCAAGTACAAAAGACATAGTTAAACAGTAGAAGAATCCATCGCTAATCCACAATGTTCACAGCTGAAGCATTAAAGTATATTTTCAAAATATTTACAGGGTAGCCATAAAATACCTTTTGTATTTCACTGTGTTACAATATCTTAACTATGAGACATAACTGAATGAAAAGAAACTGAGACATGAGCATATCTAGCAATGTGGCAAATATCAAAACAATTCTAAGACCAAACATTCTTTTTCTTCTGAGGCTACTGTAACAAAAAGCATTTACTTTTCATATGATTGACGCTTTGTTTCTCAAAAACCAGAAGTTGACATTTTATAACAAGAATGTACCTCTTTAGGAAATTTGTACAAACTGCTCTGAATGAAAAGTTTGCAGTCTCCTAAGACCCTTCATATCGCTTCTGGGGGTACACAGATGCCTTCATTCTGTGCATATTTATGCACATAATTAAGGCAGCTATTCACATTATTAGATCAGAAATGTTTTAATATGTTTTAGCAAAAACAGAAATTATCATTGCTGTCTTCATACCTCCCACATTACAAGGGGTGCATATGTGGAAATTTACTAACACAAATTCTAAAATGTGTTCTCATTTTCACTTTTGCTTCATTCAACTGCATATCACAGTTATGAAAATATGACACTATGAATCGCCAAACACAATGTGGACAATCTGTATATTGTAGTAATAATTTTAATACTAACTTTCCCCAAAATGACTCAGACAGCATAGACATGAAACATTCCAAATGATTCTCTCTGCCAGAATGTCTCAGTTAAGGTGAACTGATTACCAGATTCCACAAAATTTCACTGATATTGGTTCACTCCCATATTACTCTGAATGGTTTGGTTTCCACTTCACTAAATGCTGATTAGATAACTAGCCAAATATTGGCTGATACCTTCACTGTAACTACAGATTGAACATCCATACAGAAGATGTATTATTCAAGCAAAATAATTCTGCAAGTGGTGTGCTAGGTTAGGTCATTCAGTACAATGACTAGGGTACAGACTGGGCAAGTGATGAATCAGCACAAGCAGGACAGTTTTCCATTGCATCCTGACTGCCTCTGGGGCTCACCTAGCCTCCTATCTGATGGGTACTGGTAGCTGCTTACTGGGGGAAAGCAGCCAGGGCATATCTATCCATTCAGTTCAATTTATTGTCAAAGTTAAAAATGCATGCAGCTATACATCCACTCCCTCACACATCTTCATGGTGTGGTATTCAATCAAACACAAGGACCTCACCTTTTTAATTCTGTCAATCCTATGAACCATATGTGTGAAAGAAAAACACTAAACTAGCTACGGCAGGCACGAGGTTTAAAATAATTAATTCAATTAAATCAGTGTAATGTAACAATGTTAGAAATAGGACAAAATTATTCCTGTACCTAACTACTTAACCACTATGCCCAATGCGGGAGCCGGAGGTACAGCTCCACCATTCTTAACCTTGACACTAGATGGAGCTGTCAGCTTTACACCCCAATCGTTTTACACCCAGGGACTGTGGAGGCTACTGGATACAAGGCTTGGTGGGCCATGAAGCTACCTGCGGAGAAGAGAAAATATTTTGCACCTACCAGGAATCGAACCTCGATTCATCGGTCATCCAGCCTGTATCCTAGTTGGTGTACCGACTCAGCTATCCTGGCTCGTTACTGTTTATGTGCAAACAGGATGAGTGAAAAAGATGGAGGAAAGGAGAATTTTCTGGGAGCCTGGATATCTACATATACTGGTGTACTTAAAAGTTAAACATGCAAGGGATAAATTCCCCATCGAAACAGTGGAGAATTAATAATAATGTGCATTGAGATGGGCTAAAATACCAAAATGTATTATGTGCGTGCGTGCGCGCATGTGTGTGCGTCCATCAATGAATGCAAGACTTGCACTAAATTAGAAGAGGCTTCATAATCCTCCTCCTTAAATAACCAACTTAAGGAAATTATCAAGATTTACATTCGCATTTATCCACTAAGAGCAGCAGCTTACAGCTCTTACCATGTGGCTCTCTTGTCTGCTGCCAAAACCTACGCCATGTGTTGCAAGAACAGATCGCCTCAGGAACTTAACTTTCTGCTGAACCCCATCTGGTTATCGGCCTTGCCACCAATCAACCACTTTCACTGGTCATCTGCAGTCTTTCAACACAGTTCAAGAATGCTAATTTAAGAATAAAAACTACTCAGAAACGTGACATGAAAGATCTATCAATAGGCCGATTCTTCAGGCTGAACGACTAGAGTTCGATTCCAGAGGTGGCAATTTCATTTTAGTTACCACATCTTGAGAGCTCTTATCCAACAGGCATCATTAGCTCATTCTCCCCAGAGGATCACGTAATTGGGGTGTTGAGTTCATCCCTCTCACTACCATCTGATCTCGAGGGCTAGAATGCGTTGGAGTTTTACCGTAATACCCTGGGGACCTGGCCAGCTGTCGGTATGCCGGCAGGCAATAGGCTGGATGGCTGGGACTCGATTCCCAGCAGGGGCAAGAGATGTCGCTCTTCTCCATAATGACCAAACCGTCTCTGGGCCCCACTCAGTCTCCTATGCAATGGATACCGAGGGCTGTTTACCCGGGGGTAAAGCGGTTGGGGCATGATTCTGACCACTCACCTCCATATAGTGTCGAGGTCAAGAATGGAGGTGCTATACATCCATTCCCCTACACGTCCACATGGCGTAATGCTTAATTAGGCACAGGGCTAACTTTACCTTTGCCTTTTATCCTTATTTCTGGTGTGTCGCTTAGAAAAGACATTTTATCTTGTGCGGTTCAGAAATGAACAACATTTTCTGCATTGTCTTGGACGGTTGGCTATTTTAGAAGTAAATTTAAACAAAGTCGCCTGCGACTTACAACCATCATCAAAACAACTTACTACTCGTTTCTTATTAACCTGTATCAAACATGGAGTTGCGGCTGGTAGCCCCTGCTTCGTATTTAGGTCAAGCTCTGAGACCGATTGTCGTGACTGGACTTCATGGCTGTCCTTAATCTCCCTTTAAGGAAAGTGACAGAAAAAGAGAAAGAATATAAAACAAGTTTTTGTTTACCAGTCAGGATTCGAATCGGGTACCGCTACCTTCGGAATGCCAATCACACTGGCAGAGGCAATGGTAATCTAAATAATTAATGGACATAGTTAAGTTTTGGCTATCCGAGCGTAACAACTCTTCCTGCGACATTTTACTGCCAGTTGGCGCAGAGGGCGCAAATCTAGGGGTGGGGGTGCTCAAATAGCGTTGCACACGTCTTTTATTTCACTGTTTGTTTCCTGTACCTGCATGGATGGGGTGGAAATGGACGATAAAGAAAAAACGATTGTGTGGTTTAGTACAAGAAAAGGGAAAGGAATATTAGAGAAAGGAGGGAAGGAGATAAAAGTAAGAAAGGGGAGTGAGATGGAATACAGTAAGACCTCACTAATTTTGACTAACTGGGTGCGATCCATTGTCCAAATTAATGAAAGTCCGAATTACAGAAGTGCTACTGAAAATATTGTGACATGTAGACCCATTGCTAGGAAACGAGTGGCAAACACGTTTCCGTAGAGATTGATTCTTGAAAACCAGCTCGGTATGGAACATGTTTCCGCAGATACGAGTGATCAACACACATTTTCTTGGATACAGATATGCTATATAAGAGGCTGTTCTGATCATAATAAAATCAGTCGTAGTCCAGTCACAATGGAACGAGTCTTAGGCAGTCATTTGT